CTCCTTCTGTAAGGCTCTTTGGTAATAATCTTGCCTTGTACAACGCTTGTAGGCAATCAACGATATTTTTCCACGATGCTCTCAATGCATTCCCATGTAAATGCGTAATTTTGAAAAGAGTACGTGCAGCTAATTGACATTTCCCACTACCTCCTATATGAAGAACAACTTGTTCAGGTTCACCGCCTGTTGCCAGGCCTGTGAATTTGCAAAGACTGACAACGAGAGTATCTAAGTCACTACTGATGCTATAATGAGCGCTTATTGCAGCACAGCTAAAATTAAAAAATAATTAATATTTTCTTTTTATCTTCTTGTTAAAGTAATCAAAAAGATATGAAAATATAACTTACCTAAGAAATGTTTGAGCTACTCTGCGTTGCAAAGCTTTATCTGGTGCTTTGTCATATGCTCTACACAAAGCACTTATAATTGGAGCCCATGCATGCTCTGCCAATTCTTTATCAACAATCTCACTAGCATTTCCAACTTTCAAATATGAACTTTCTGGACTAGCACCTCTACGTAATAACACCTTCCACAAATAATTTTCTTTAACTAAACCAGTTTGTTCTGCTGGCATTACAATTTCTTCTCTCCTGGCAAGTAATAAATAAATTATAAAACTCAACATGTAACTGAAAAGTAGTTTAAAATGAAAAGTTTCTAAAATCCTCACTTTATAGAAGAATATATCTCATCCAACATATCTTGATCGAAGTCAGCACCACCATTTACTTTCTTTAAATTTCTCTTGAATTCGTCAGCAGTCATAGGATTATTTTGCCTTTTGACATTATAATTGTGCTGATCAACATTTAACATAATTACTGCATATGCTAAAGTAAATGCCGCATCTGCTGAACTAAATGGTTTGCCATTACTATCCTACAAGAATAAATGAAAGTAATTTAATCTTTAATTATCTGTAATAATCATGTTTCACAAGTTGAATTAAAAAAAAGAAAAAAGAAAAAAGAAATTGACTTTTATTGTTATTACATACATGCCAGTGCTCAGCGAATTTCTCGAGCAGAAGAGAAATAAGTGGAGCTTCACCAGGTAATCTAAAAGACTCTAAGTAGAGTCTTAGAGCTTGATCGATCCGTGTGTTTCTTAGATCAAAATTGTGTACAAAACAATTAAGAACATTCTTATTATCTTTCTTACTTATATATTCACCAATAGCTTTTTTGTCGAGTCCAGGATTTTCTCTCAAAAGCTTAGCAACCTTTTCTGGATCAGGATGTCCTGGACTACCTCCTAAAAGCCCATGCTCTGTAAGTTTTGTGATTCCTTCTCGAGGATTTTCATTAAACTTTTCTGTTCCTACTATCAACCACTAAAAATAAAGATTTATTATTTTATGTATTTAATAACTTAATAAAAGGAATTAATCAAAAAAAAAGAACATACCCTTTTATTTGTTTTTATAGTAAGTAATTCTTCTCGTGTTGGAAGATTTTGTGAGGTACTATGCCTGGAAGATTTGCATAATTCTTTGTAGCCTTTACATCTAATTTCCATGCCAGAAATAAGCATAAATATTGCATCCAAGGAAATGAATTGCATACTGTGCATATTACCCATAAGAGCAGAGGCATTCTATGAAAGCACAGTGAATAGAGAATCAAAATCTTAAATGTCTATACCCTTAATAAATAAAGTCTATACCCTTGAGTATTTTTAATATTAATATACCTTAGAAAGCATCTTCATTAATTCTTCATAAAGATTTGTCGAATACAGTCCACAATCATAATTCAAATACAATTCTGCTGGTAATCCCGGTATTCTCCATAGCCTTACAATGGCTTCTATAATCAATAAAACAAACTGATCTAGGTTATGATCTTATATATTGATATGAGAGAAAAAAATTTGTTTAAAAATTCAATAAATATTTACCAAGTGCTAATTCACGTTGTTCATACGATATCCTATTAGAGTCTGAGCTCACTATTTCTATTAATTTAATTATATAATGCTCCATTTGAAATTTAAGATATTCTCTTTGTGATTCAAATAATAAAAAGGATACTTGTAAATCCGCGGCAAGAATTGATAATCTATCAGTTCCAAGAAGCTGTTATGAACGAAAGAATCATTGTATTAATAATACTTAAAAAGTGATATTGATCAAATTCATTGCATGTATTATGTGTATATTTGATTTGATCATGTCATCTTACATAATTTTGTAATATTTATGTTTACCAGAATAAGATTCCGACAGAGATCATCTTTCACCAATAAGAGTAAAGATGGGAAGTTAGATAGAGCATCTGCTGCAATTTCCAATGCTACTTGCAATAAGTTAAGACCCAGATGAGTCATAACTTCATTGTTTTGTTTATCTAGAGGACTACATAAAGAAACTAAGAATCTGAATAGTTCCCGCACACACAAAGCACCATATGGTGCTAATTGTTGGAGTGGCATAAAACGAACTCCCTGAGTATTAATATATTCTTCTATTTGTTCAGGTTCTTTCGTTTTCGATATTTTGGATGTATTAGTAATACTTTCGTCTGTGGATAAATCTTCCACACTACCAACTGGTGATTGTATAGTATCAATACTTTTTTCTTCATCTATTGATCGTGTTTCTAAAAAATAAAAAATCAAGAATGCGTGCATGTATATATATATATATATGTATACATATATATATATACATATACATATATATATATATGTATATATATATATATATATATATATACATATATATGTTTATGCTCATATGAATGTTATGTAAATCAAGCACGTTTTTATTACCTTGACTCTCCGTTACATTTTGAGAATTATACTCTTCTTCTGATGTACCTTTTGTATGAACTATATCTTCCTTTCCTAGGATTTTTATTTCTACTTGGGAAATTTCATCTTTTTGCAATCCATTACTACTCTCTATTTTCTCTATCTCACTATGAACTTCTTTTTGTTCTATATCATTCAATGAATTTTTTTGTTTCTGTTCTTCTGGAATCTCATCTTTAATAGACTCACTTTTGCTATTATCAATTTTGTTATTATTTTCCTTGTTATCATTCTTTTCATCTTCTGTTTTATCAGATGATGTTCCATGATCTAAAGAACCTTGCATATCTACAATGATTTCTCCTGCAGTAACAGGTGAAGTAGCTACATTTTCTGCTCTAACTTTATCGACTGAACTCAAAAAATGCGTTTCATCTTCGATGTCATCTACATTCGATTTTAATCTTGGTTTGGAATGAACTTTATTCTTTTTATATTTAGGACGTGTACCTTCCATACTGTTTGTTCTCATTTTCTATATAAAAAAAAGAAAAAGAAAAAGGATAATCTATACCTGTTAAACTCAATCAAATTATTAACATACCTTCATACTCAATAAAACTCTTGTATCATCAGCGAATAATGGTAATCTAGTGAAAAGATGTTGTACTATATCTCGTAGACAATGTTCTGCTGTTCTTCTTAAAAGTTCTAAGTATATAATATAAAACCATTAAAATATGTTAAATATTTTATAAAAATTGTATGTTTCTTGTGTGTAATTTTGATTAATGCATACCGCTAAGACGTGTTTCAAAACATATCCTAAAACAGCTAAGCATTATTTCACAAATACTTTCATTTGATAAATAATCCCCTGCTGGTGCTAACATAAGTGCTTTTAAAACTTGCAATATCCTCATAAGAACAACTCCATCTCCTGCTGCATCTGTACCTACAAATCTAGCATGAGTAACAGCATCAGCTATTGCTTCTACACACGTTGCTATTGTAGAATGATCAGGATCTGAAATGATTAAATGAAATTTATGAAATATTCGAAATTCAGTATAACTTGTCATAAAAAAGACATAATACGTACTAACAAAGCCATAAGATATAAATTTATTAACGGCAGACAACGCAAGACTGGTAACAGGTCCTGTAGTTTCTTCAGAACGTATAATTTCAAGAAATGGAGCCAAGAATACACCAGGTTCCAACTGGGACAAATCTTTTACCTCATTCAATGCTTCCTTCAATGTTGACAAACCTTTTATAAGGGCATCCTGATCATCGTCCTTAATGATAAAAAAATATCACAATACACACGAATATCATTTAAAATATGAATAAGATGAAAATATGAATAAGATGAAAATATGAATTGAAATAAAGAATGATTATCCTCTGATTTGTTTATTTTAATAAATCTTAACTTTTCTATTCAAAACCACCTGCCATACTGTCATTACAACCTGTTTGATTAGAGTTATTGAAATGCATACTCTTAATGAGGACGAAAAAATAAAGGATAATATTCTTAGACGTGTACATTTAATCTTAATTCCTCGAAATAAATTTGTTTCTTATGCAAATAAATAACTGACAATGATTCTAACCTGATGAGAATGTGAGGACCATCGAGTACCTCGTCGCATTGCTGTCGCCAGGAGACAGACTTCGCCTTCGACAACATAAAGGCCGCCTCCTGGACAGGCCGTTTTCGGGATTCTGCTCATTTTTGCTATTATTATTTCTTACACCATGTTTGTATTTAGAAGGCTTTATGAGTAACTTTATAATTCGTAACGTCAAGTGTCAGGAGTGTAGAACACTTCCAACACGATAATCATAGACTTCAAAATACATAAAGATAGACAATTTTCTTCATCGTTGTGCTCCTCTCGACATTATCGACTGTTCTGACATAAAATTGTTAAAAAACAGTAAGTTAATTTTTATTCAACGTCTTCATAAAAGTCAAATAAATCTTTAATAAATTAACATTGTTGGTTATTGACTCATATTTTATTAACAAAAATTATAAATCTTAAATATAGAAATAGACCTTTCATTCTATCAAATTGAATAAAATAAATCTATATAACTGGAAAATAATATAACTATAATCAATTATAGTTATATGTTTAAGTTTCATTCACAGAATCAGCTCAATTGAACACACAAAATTCTTACATTGCGCTTGAGCAGACATTTAGATCACTTTTTTATCATCGATGTGTATTTTAATTTTATTGGTTGGTAGAGTAGAAATTTAAGGAAATTTATTATTATTACGATTATACATTTGATTATGATATTATACGCAACTCTGACTCAACTCAAATCATGTTATTATAAGTCATAATTGCGCGGTTTTTATCGATGCATCGAGATCATTTTAATTTACTGGACTGCAGTGAATGTTAGATATCATTTGATACATTCTTACAAATTTGAAGAAATTCTACGATAGATATTCAACAAAAACAATAACATTAAAAGGTAATTTATTTTTATATAGTTTCAGAAAATTTATTTATTCATCATTTTATATTTACATATTTAATAGCTTAAATAATTATTACACACTTTGTGTTCTGTTTTATTGATAGAACACATGGTACAGGAATAACAAAAACGAATCGGACATACGTGCCTTGCAATAAAGCTTCTCACATATTTTCATTCATTGATTATAAAAGATCGAATAATTTTTGATAAATTTATTTACGTTATAGCCAACATTTTTAATAGTCAAATATTTTAAATAAGAAATGAATAACGAGTTTTAATTTTTTTTAAAACAAAAGAGAGAAATTTATCTTTTAAGAAGCTGAATGAATTCTAGGTGTGGTCTTGACTATATAAAGTCCTTTAATTTACATGAATTTATTGTTTATTGACCATTTATAATAATACGTATAAAAAAAAATTTGTAATTGAATCTTGCAATAGTGTATCAATCATCATGTATTCTTTTATAAGAAATAAACTGCGTATAAATTTTTACAAAATCACTGTAGCTTTAATTGGTACCATGGGAGAAATACCTAATGAACATAATTCCAATTATATTGACTACAATGATGACTGTAAGTTAAAGTAATTCTTAGCTAAAAAAATAACAATAATTTAAACTAGGTTGTATCAAGTCTATAATGTCATCTTAACATCAATTAATTAAGATGATTGATCATAACTTGTAATACCACATATATCTGGATAACTAATTTCTTTAGCTCAATTCAATGGGTTCAGTTTCCAGTACACAAAAGATCATGCCTGCAACACGAGAAATGGTCGATCAACTGATCGCTTCAAATCAAATTGTTATATTTTCCAAGACGCGTTGTCCATATTGTAAAATGGCAAAACAAGTATGTTTCCTCTTTTATGTAATAAAATCGATCCACTTATATTTACAATCGTATATATTTTTAATAGGTATTTGATTCATTAAAAAAAGAATATACTGCTATTGAATTGGATGAAAGGGACGATGCAGAAGAAATCCAATCAATATTGGGAGAAATGACAGGTGCAAGAACAGTTCCTAGGGTATTTGTTAAAGGAGAATGCCTTGGAGGAGGTACTGATATAAAGAAACTTTATGATAGCGGAGAATTACAGAATAAATTTTAAATTATTGGTAAAAAACATATATCTGATACATCTATTTACCATACCTATAACTGTGGTACTTATATCATGTATTCTATACTCTGTTACATAACAATAGTAACTGAATTCTAAAATGTAACAACAATTTCATTAAATACTTTAATTTAAAAAGCGAAGTGATAATTCATTATTCATAACAATCACAATTATTTACCTATTCATAGACTATCCCACAAAGTATAGAAACATTTGTGTTAATTTTTTACTATTTACATTTACATATACAATCTTATGTAGATATGATACTTAGTTATTATAAATAAAGAAATTAATAAATATGAAAATAAAAATAAATAATTTATTTGAATTGTACAAAGAAACATATACTAATTAAAAAATAAGTAAAATAAATAAAATATACTAAATATACTACATTAAAATAATGTAAATTATACATATTGAATACATGCATGTACAAATACGACTTCGCTCATATGAGACACATATGATATTCAGCAGTTTACGGGTCTCCAATCACCATGTGTCTACAAATGTAGATTTCACTTACATGAGTCAATTCACCTAAAAATATCCCTAAATACATATATCGAACAAACTGTGTATCCATCAAATTTTTTAACAAGCAAACGACGATGGATTTCTCTCAATATCGGAAAATATTGGTTTATGTTTTGACATTTCTCGCTTACGCGTGGTCCGGTTATGGTGCTGGATTATTGGGAAATCTACGAGATGCTGTATTAACGGCCGAATCGGTGTTTCAAGATCTATTTGAAAATGCCATAACCGTAGCGAAAAAAATCAAGGATATACATGAAGTATTCGATGCCGCTGTTGAAGAAAATTGTGTTTTTCATTGTCCCGGAGGTATGTATGTACTTACTGATAGTAGTTTACTATCAAAGTATACATCCTCGTTATTATCTCGCCAAATTATTTTTATAATGATTATTTTATGTTTATATTACGATTATTTTATTAGTCAAGCTACAGAAAATACTGCGAAAATAAAAACTTCATCTAATGATTGCATAATTTTACATAAATTTACGAATCACGATATTACTATATTTATATTATCGATCTAAT